TGTGATGTGTGTCGTGTGGTGTGTGTTGTGTGTGTGTGTGGTGTGTGTGTGTGTGTTTTGTGATACATAGATACCCTGGTTATCAAAATTTATATTCTTTTGATGTTCAAAACCACTAACGAACATCCTTTCAAGAAACCCGTACTGTTTCAATTGTTATCAGAGCGCGAATAGCATTGACTGACAGCAGGTAACAATAGTTAAAATTTTAATGGTGTCAAGTGCACAGCTCTTTTCATTTCAAAGCAGCCAATGAATCGAATTACGTAAACGACAGCGGATTACTATGCGTTTTAGCAGTAACTCATGATAGCGTGTTAACATAGTATACATAGGTGTGTGTGTGTTTGTGTGTGTTCACATATACTTACGCACTCAGACACACTGATTCTTGCCCACGATTCTCTCTATCGTTCTTTCGTTTGGCTTCTTTCTCTCTTATCCCCTCTTCTTGAACACCCTTATCTGACTCTTTCCTTCCTCTGTACCCACCTTTCTCTTATCTCTACAAATCATTGCATATTCGAAAGGCAGTGTAAAGAGTTTTTTCCCACCTTCCGATTCTTTTACATATTTCTTCCCCCAGTCACCACCTTTTCTTCTTATTATATACATTATATATATATATATATATATATATATATATATATATATATATATATATTATATATATATATATATATATATATATATATATATATATATATATATATAATAGAAACAACTCATTAAGCTTGGCAGCATCAGTTCCTCCTCCAGGCATAAGCTCCTCCTCCAGGCATAAAGCTCCTTCTCCTCCAGGCATAAGCTCCTCCTCCAGGCATAAGCTCCTCCTCCAGGCATAAAGCTCCTTCATCTCAGGCATAAGCTCCTCCTCCACATAAGCTCCTCCTCCAGGCATAAAAACTCCTTCTCTCCAGGCATAAGCTCCTCCTCCAGCATAAAGCTTCTCCTCCAGACATAAAGTCTTCTCCTCCGCATAAAGCTCCTTCTCTCCAGCATAAAGCTCCTCCTCCAGGCATAAAGCTCCTTCTCCTCCAGCATAAGCTCCTCTCCAGGCATAAGCTCCTCCTCAGCATAAACTCCTTCCTCTCTCCAGGCATAAAGCTCCTCTCTCCAGCATAACGCTCCTCCTCCAGGCATAAAGCTTTCCTTCTCCTCCAGGACACTAAGCTCCTTCTCCTCCCAGACATAAAAGCTCCTCTCCTCCCATCAAAAGTCCTCCAGACATAAAGCTCCTTCTTCTCCAGGGCATAAGCTCTCCCCAGGCATAAGCTCCCTTTCCTCCAGCATAAGCTCCTCCTCCAAGCATAAAAGGATCCTTCTCCTCCGGGCAAGCTCCTCTCCAGGCATAAGCTCCTCCTCCAGGCATAACAGCTCCTTCTCCTCCAGCATAAAGCTCCTCTCTCCAGGCATTAAACTCTTCTCTCCAGGCATAAGCTCCTCCTCCAGCATAAAGCCTCCTTCTCCTCCGGCATAAGCTCCTCTCCAGGCATAAGCTCCTTCCTCCAGGCATAAAGCTCCCTCCTCCAGGCATAAGCTCTCCCTCCAGGGCATAAAGCCTCCAGCATAAAGCCTCCTTCTCCTCCAGGCATAAGCTCCTTCTCGGAAAGCTCTCTTCCAGGCATAAGCTCCTCCAGCATAAAGCTCCTTCTCCTCCGGCATAAGCTCCTCCTCCAGGCATAAAGCTCCTCTCCTCCAGGCATAACTTCCTCCAGCCTAAAGCTCCTCTCTCCAGGCATAAGCTCCTCCTCCGGGCATAAGCTCAAGCATAAGCTTCCTCTCAGGCATAAGCTCCTCCTCCAGGCATAAAGCTCCTTCTCCAGGCATAAGCTCTTCCCTTCTAAAGGCATAAAGCTCCTCCTCCAGGCATAAAGCTCCTTCTCCTCAGGCATAAGTCCTTCCTCCAGACATAAGCTCCTCCTCCAGGCATAAAGAATCCTTCTCCGTCCTGGGCATAAGGCTCCTCCCAGGCATTCTCCTCCAGGCTCATCAAGGCGCTCTCATCCTTCCAGGCATAAGCTCCTCTAAAGGCATAAGCTCCTCCCTCCAGGCATAAACGTCCTCCCTCCGTTGCCATAAGCTCCTCTCAGCATAAGCTCCTTCCTCCTGGCAGCAAACAGCCTTCCTCCAGCGCATTTCCAATCCTCCTCCAGGCACTCAAGCTCCTTCTCCAGCATTAAGCTCCTTCTCCTCCAAGCATTCCTTGCTTCACAGCGCATAACTCCTGTCCGCTCCATGGCATAAAGCTGTCTCCAGGCATAAGCTTCCTCGCTGCCAGGCATAAAGCTCTCCTCCCAGCGGCATAAAGTCTCCTCTCCTCGCGCATCTAAGCGTTTCTCCCTCCAGGGCATAAAGCCCTTCTCCTCGGGCATAAGCTCCTCCTCCCAGGAAGAACCATAAAACTCCTCCTCCAATAGCTCATAGCTCCGCCTCTCACAACGCCATAAGCTCCAGCTACCTCGCCAGCCGAGTAAAGCTCCACGTTCTCAACATAACA